GCTCGCAAGAGATGGCCCATCATATGTCAAGGATATCAAAATGTTTTTTTCAAACTTGAACCATGAGCGATCACGTCGGGGCATTGCTGTCATGATTGCCGATTGCAGGGAAGATTCGATGAGTCATGATGGTTCGGTTGCTTTATTCCGCCACAGCGTCGACCAGCTTCTTTGGGTTTTCGTCAAGTAACCAGTGTCCCCGAAAAGAAAAGTGCATGTAGAGCGTCGTGATTAGAGATGTAGTCTCGCAACCCATCATAGAGGCTGAAAGCTCCTGTGTTTCTGTTGCCTTCTTCTTGCTAACGGGAATCCCCTTTCAATCATGTCCTCATAAGTCTTTGGATTGGAAGCCCAAAATCGGCCCAGTACATCACTTCTCTTACGAGGGTCCCAGGAGGATCTGGGGGACGCGTGGGAGCGTCGGACTTTTTGCAAACTTCTGGATTCGCACTCCTTTTGGGGCCAACCGTGAATGACCTGGCCAAGCTTCCTAAAACTATCATATAAACTGGACACCAAGTCTCTTCTTTGACAGCTGGCTGTTCAATCGCCCTCAAGCAAATCTCGTCAATGTGGTCCGAGCTTGGACATTGCAGGTCTTGGCACTTTAAGGTGTAAATCACGCCACATCTCCCACGACACAGTTCCCACCACTGACCTGTGAAGCAAGTTCTAGGGTCCAGCCGGAATCTTTGCCATGACCTTTCACTTTGGCCGATAGTATTCGAGTGATCGAGCATACGAACGGGTCGCCAGCGGTTGCGATCTGCAGCCAATACTCACGCGCATCAAATGAGTACTGATTAGCCTGCAGCAAAGATGGAGCCTCTTGACTACACTCGATACACTCACTTTCGCTTGAGATACCACCAAACAACCAAATTCATAAAACACAGATCTTCCTGCTAAGGCGACGTCAGTGCTCGGGAATACCCGGCTCTCAGCAACTATGCCCAAAAGCTACCGAAGATAAAGGATGTGCCATCTGCATCTAAAGGAAAAAGCACTCACAAACATATGCTGAGTATGCAAAGGTAAGCGTTAGTTGGAAACAGTGTCGGAGGATTGACCATCGCACAACATGTGCAGCGACATAGTCATTTCTGCAAAGTTCGATCGAATCGAAACATGTGCTCCTAAGATATTTCTCGTCAGTTGCACGATGAACTGTCCATGACGATTCTAGCCGTTGGGCATGTGCACATCCGACTCACTTTCTGCGATGGACTGCCTGCGACCACTCCATGATTGAATGGCTATGTCGGGCTACCCGCTTTCGGGCGCCTTGGAACAATGCTTCTCGCTTCACTTCTGCTTTTTGGTTTCCTTTGGTGAAGGCTTCTCCTGCTGCCAGTGTCGGGGTGCTGCGTCATCTGCCCTGAACTATTTCGGCCTTCTTCGCATCGGTCTCCGGCTCAGGTTTGGGCGCTCGCCATTTTCTGCATCGGATGGGTGCCAGGGGCTTACAGTGAGACTTGAGAAAAGCAGATCGTGGCGACTCTCAGGCTTCGGGTCTCCTCCACAACCAGTCAACGGCGTAGTAGAGCGGCAACTCAGAGAAATGCATGGGACGTGTCTAGAAGCGGCAGCGGCTATTGCACGCTTCTAGCATCTTCTAATGTATCCAGCGAGATCTGGAAAGCCATCTGCAATGGCATCAATCACTTGTTGCGAACCAAACAGGCAATATTGGCAAGTAATTTTCCATGCCACTGAATTTGAAAGCTCAGCGCCCTCTTTCAAACGAGAGCAGAACAAAGCCCTTGGTTTTGAGAAGTACCCTGTGCGACTGTTCATTCTGCAAATATCGATGCAAATCGGCTGAGATCAAGGCTGGGAGTGCAAAAACCAGGAAGAACCTCGGGCGCTTCCAGGCACTGCAGAGACTGAGCCGATCCAATCAGCTCAATGGCACTGGGAACCGAACAGAGGTGGACCGCGCTTGGTCCAGTGGCTGTTTTTGACAGCAACGTCGGCCTGATGTCCAAAATTGGAACCAGTCAGAATCAATCGCTGCGTGCAGGGAACACCAAAAGATTTGGCCGAAAGATCTATCTTGTAGTTAACCACAAACTATCACAAGTCTTCTAGAAGCCTGACCCTGACAAACGACCCCTGTCATCAACCCTTGTTTTCCCGACCTGCGCTCGCATCAGGTCCCAGAGCTTGTCAGACTGCTCCCGCACCTGCAACTGGCCAGCTCACATACTGGTAGCTCGCGAAGTATCTGCGTCACGAAGCCATGCATCCCAGGTCACGACTCCGAAATGCAACACCACACACCTGCCTGGGCTGCGGCGTCTTCGCCTGACGCCACCAGCAGTCATCATCACCACCGGCAGTTGGCATTGTCAAGACTCAGAGCATGCAAAACTCCAGAAGAACGCATGCCAAAGGCGCTGTCAGCGAAGTCCGCCCATTCCTCGAGCAGCACAGCAGAAGCGCACTTTCTGTCTTCACTCTTGTCCCGTCTCGGGGGCAGGGCTCTTGGCATCTTAGGAGGCCTTTTGCCTGCTCCGTGCGGTGCCCTCTCTGGCTGTGAAGTCGGGGCCGGGCACTGCCGGGGCCAGGCCTCTCTTCATGGCTGCCATGACTTGCTTCAGCAGATCGAGCGCAAGTGCAGACGTCTCACCTGGACGGAATCCAAAGGGAAGTGGGACCTGGTTTCCTGCTGTTCTGTTACTTCTATTTCCAAACGGTCTTAACTGGGGGGGGTGTTGAACCTGAGTCTATTGTGCTGCCTCTCTACCAGCCAGCCCTCTTGGCATTCCAGCTTTCGCGACTTTTCCCTCCGGTGTAACCTTATCGGCTTTCTGCTCCCGTTGGTGGTCCACTCCGCAGCTAGTCAAGTCCGAGGCCTTCCCCGATCTCGAGCCATACCGACGCTTTAGGTATTTTGACGATCTGCGGCTTTGGTTGCAGGACGTTGTAAGACTAAGCGCAGCAGCACTGAAACGGCTAGAGGTTTGGGACTCCGGCCGAGTCGCCTCCTTCTGCTCGCTTGTGAACGCACACGTTGACCATGCGAAAGAGCTTTAGCTCTGCAGCCTGCGGCTCATGTAACTGCATGTCTTGCAATGACTCACGGTTGCCTGGAGTACGAGCCTGTACTGTATGTCTGTCGAGCCCGCAAGACATCAACAAACTAGTCTCGAAGGTCCGCGTGAACCCCCAGCACGTATGCAGCAAGCCGCACCTCTTCAGGCGGCAAATCGTTGGCCACCAGACGCCTTTGTTGCAAGGCCGGGTTGGTTGAGCAGCCGAAGCAGCCGTGCTGCCTCTGAAAGCAAATTTCATGCAGCACGCGGCGTGAACGTTTTGGGTGAGACAGTGTCAGCGCTTTGTTTGCTTCAGCTCGACGCTATAACATTTAGTTCGTGATGGCGTGCGGGACACTTCTGCTAGGTTTGGTGGACCTGAGAAGCTGTGGTTGGGTGCAAGGTTGTAATCGAAAGAATCCTCGAGACTCGAGACCTGCTGCATTCTCTGTCGAAGCTCAGGGTCACTGATTCTCATCCTGAGGAAAGTCTCGTCGATTCTGGAGCTGCGGACCCCCCCCATTGCACCATGGCAGGCACGGCTTAAGGCCAGCCCCCAACCCCATGGTTTGATGACCTGCATATCTCAGCTCGCTGGTCGAGGCCAAGCTCCTGACTCGAGGCTGTCCATGATCTCTCTGGTGCCGCCGAGGAATTCTGATGCCAGGGCAAAGCCTTGGAAGGCTAATTAGACTGCTAGAACTCTGCTACGGGTAGACATTTAGAACGGAAGTCGCCCAAGCGGAACGAGCATCGCGCAAGTGGCCGTCCAGGCTGCATCGGCCTGAAATTTCGGCCGGCGCTGGAATTTCAGGCTATGGGCGTGCTCGGTGGAAGAGAGCAAAAGAGCCGGAGGTGCGGCATCAAGGTCCTCGCGAGACCTGGCTGGATCATCACTTCCAAGACTCGGGCTCTCGGTGGAGGGAGGACTGCCTGTCCAGCTGCTGCTTTGCCTGATCCAAGTTGAGCCTTCCTTGCTTCAGCTCCTGTGCCAGCACTGCAATGCCCTGCAGCACGTAAACGGCCAGCATCGGCCAGCAAAACTAACACCTCCAGCTGCTGCTCAATATCTTTCAAGCTGTTTCGAAGCTCTGGATCATCCTGATGCCAGGATGTGCTGTGAGCACGCAGCGACGTGAAATGGCGCCGGGCCTCTTCGGATTTATCGAGCGAAGCCTGGCAGCCGGTGTTTACCGCACTTAGGGGGCCTCAAATCTTACGACATTGGCAAATGCCTTGAGGTCGTCGAGTCGATCTTGAAGCTCTTGCGTGATCGCGCCTGGATTTGGCCGCAAGCTCGGGTCACTCGCACCGGTCCGACTTCGAACAGAACTTCCCGACCAAACCACAGTCATGGAATCCGATGTTAGCCTTCGCTTCGATTGCTCTGGGCTGCCACTTGCAGCCAACCTGGGAGACGTTTGCAAAGGCTCGCCGGTAATCAAGCGAAGTGAAGCGCGGAGAGAAATCGAGGCAAGAAGTAGTAAGGCCTGTGCAGGATGCTAACCTCACTTCTCAGCGCCCGTGCCATGCTTGTGCCAAGAGAGGTGTGAACATGGATGCACAATTCTGCAGCTCAGATTCTGACAGCCATGTACCCAGCATGGGACTGGTGCACCATGTCAAAAAACCCATGCCCGAGCACAGGCACGCAAGTCAGCGGGTAGTCTGCTTTGTGAGGATATGCCTGCTGCTCTTGCCAGCACGGTGTAGAGTCTCACAGTGTCCCACATGCAGTAGTGCAGTGCGGACATTACAAGCTTCATATTATGTGTTATCACATGAACAGCCCTCATGTTCGAGCATGCATGCCTGTCGATAAAAAAACACAGTGCACGGACCTTGCACAGACTTCCAACAGAAGTCCCTCTTCTGGCATTGGATAAGTGTGCGATTCGAGCCCACTCTTTTACGACCAAGCCACAGAAGACACCTGCACCAGGATGCTTCCGGCCGATTTTCAAGCAACGTCTGCCTGAGATGTTCTAAGGCTGGCGCCACAGAGTTTGAGATATCAAACTGTGACTTGCAGAAGGATTTTACCTGCCGCACTTTGCAGTATTCTTGGCAACAGGTTTGGCTTACCTGACGATGCAACATGCATGCTTCGGAACATGATTGGACATGCTGTGGAATCAAGGACTGCCGCGGTCCAGAAGTTCAAGCACAAGAGACAAGGAGACAAGTCTTTACCCTCTGCTGTCACCAATGGTTGCTGTTGCATGCCCCTGGTGCAGGTTTACTCTCGTCATTGTGTGGGCCTTCTGGGGCATTAAGCCGTAGTCCAACTCGAAGCGATATCTGTATGCCTGACAAATGGTCCATGGGGAGTCTCTCATGACCCCGTCCTTGACGGGAGTGTTGCAACGCTGAGCGAGCGGACCCGGATTAGCTGCTGGACATGGCATCTCCTGATGCAGGCCATGAGTTGACCTAGACGTGGTTCCAAAGCAAATGTTGCAGCAAGCTAGGTGTGGCGCTGAGTGGGCGTGAAGGTGTTGTGGGCATTGAGGTCCTGCTGTCCGCCATGGCGTATGAGAGCAACAACCAAACCCCAAAACACTTGTCAATGCTGGTTGCATGCAGCCGTCAGGTTTGCAAATCAGGTGCTTCAAGTCTTTACTCTTGTCAGAGGGCCTCCAGCCTTTCGAAGATCCTTCTCATGGCAAAGCGCCCCTCTGGGAAGCCTTGTGCAACAGAAGCGAGCAACAGGGTTTTGCATGTACAAGCTGCAGGGACCGCTTTACGGGTGGCTTGAGAGGGCGCTTCGAATCCACGCCAGCTGGCTGCGCAAACGCTGGGTATGTATTGTCATGTATGGTCTCAGCCATCTCCATCCTAGCTTGCATATGCGCTGGCTCAACTTGGTCAGCTAGCTACAGTAGCCCACTGCACCTTGAGTTGACTCGTCGCTGGGCATATCTGGACACCTGCAATGACAGAACTTGACAAGTCCCATCTCGTCGCTCTAATATTCAGATTTGTCCTGTGATCCGCTTACTGTTACTCTGCTTGCCTTGCCGTCTCCAACACAGTTCACCAACACGTATGCTTAGCTCGCCGCAAGTCTTTCGCGAGATTCAAGGCATCCAACTCCACGAAGCACCAGGATGCCTGCTGCGATTTCACGCCAAGGCGGTTGCAATGTTGACTACCGTGTCCGTGCAGAGGGGCGAAGTGGCCTGTGTCAATGGATGCACTGGATAAGCATCCAAGTTGCTGAAGAAACATCGGAACAGCAAAACCTGAGGCCGTGCAGATTCATCCTCTGAGCAGTTGGCGGTCGCAGCTGGGTACAAAGCACTGAATTCTAAACTGAGTTTGCACTTGTTCTTTCGGTTTTAAGCATTCAAAAGCACTGCACAAGTTCACTTCCAGCATTTCAGCATGCGGCTGTAACAGGATTTGCGGCACAAATTGAGTTCGGGCAGAGGGTGCCGCTGCGAATTACCGTCGTAACCGCCTTGCTTGGGAATGCTTGTGCGGCATCTGTCCAGCATAACCCAGTGCCTGACTTGGGTGTCTTGCCGGGTATCCGAAGAGTAGGGGGGATTGTCCTCATCACATACCCCCCCTTCATTAAACACACCCCAAATGAAAAAAAACAAAAAAACGGCGAATCCTACCGAAATCATCCCTGCCCTTTAATATAGTTTAAAACCTATTCCGAATTAGGGGGAGGGTTTCGAGTCACCAAATACATCCAAATACCCTTAGAGCATAGTAAGAGCAAGAGCAAGAGCGGGAGTTATAGCACGAGCAGGAGCAAGAGCGGGAGTAAGAGCAAGAGCAGGAGCAAAAGCGACAGCAACAGCAAGAGCAGGAGCAGGCGCACGAGACGCAGCAGAAGCAGGAGCACAAGCCAGCATGGGAGCAAGCGCCAGAGCAGAACCACGATCACGCCCCGCTCAAAAGTGGCAGTAGAGACAAAAATAACCCTAATAGTACAGTAAAAACACTTTCCGCGTTTTTTGTTGGGGGGAGGCCCTCCCATCCGTTTAATATTATGGGGAAGCGATTACCGTAAAGAACCTCCCCAATTATCCATACCGAAAACCATCGGAAACACATGTCTGCACTGGGTGTCTTCGGCATAGCTCTCGCTGACTTGTTTCTGCGGCGCGTCGATCTCTCTACTGCTTGCGAAGCCTCTTGTCATTCGATGTTTCCCTCGAGAAGCTTTCCGTTATCCTCGTCGATGCACAGGAGTGTGCAGTCTGGCGGCAAAGTCCCAACACAGCGGCTCACCTCAACGGTCCAGAGGAAGGCTGAATCAACATGACACACTTGTCATTGTATACAGCCTATGTGTGCCTTTGCAATCCAGGCCATGCCGCTGTTTCCTCCCATTGCGGTCCGTAATGTGGGAAAACGGCTTGATCTATCAGCCCCAGGCCATCCTTATCTTCGGATCTATATGCTTGGACCTAGACTAATACAGTGTGTGAAATAGAAGAAACAACTCGACCGAACCTTCCAAGAGTCCAAGCTTTCACGAAGCGAGTCACTGGGAACTACACTGGGGTCATCCCAACCTTTCCAGTATGCTGTGTTGCATGTCCTGCCCGATAGTATGGCCCCAGCAGAGACACCCACATACCTCGGGCGAACGTCAAGAGCCAGAGCAGCGTAAACAGCGCCGGAAATGACTCAGTTTGACAGGCTCAGGCCAAGGGTCGCAAAGGAGGTCGAAGCACGCAGCTCTCGCAGTGCGGTGGAGAGGCCTGCTTGCGTCGCATGAAACCAAAGCCTCAGCTGTTCAGGAGGCAGCGCATGTGGACTCTGAGGCTGCCCCACCTAAGGGCGCTTCAACCAAGAAGCCAGAAAGTGTTGCCACCATCAACGAAAAGAATGCCACGGCCGTCGTTTCCAAGTGCACTCTTCAGAGCGTTGCTCAACGGACTTGCACCTTGCTGAATCGTAGACAGAAAACAAACGCGAAATCAATGCACTCGGATGGCATCCGGTCAACTCCGTTACTGTCATCCTGCATCAACTTGGGAGGCGCCCAGGGGCCCATCAGAAAGAGCAACGATGACCAACTGTCTTTGCCCAAAACAGGAAACAGCGATCCGAATCCGAATGATAATGAGGGCCAAGTTGCTGCCTTCTGAATCCTTTGCCATGTCCTGCTACGTGCACTAGGCGCGGGACATTCACTTGTGGTTTCTTGCCCTTTGGGTGGAGTCCTCAAGGAAGATGTTGTCCACACTTGATGCACCCAAAGCTTCTCCCAGCATCTTGCTCCGATGTCGCGCTTCATAACGCCGTTTCTTGCGCTGGTCCTTCAAAGGCCTCTCTGAGTCCTTGCGTGGTGCCGTCCTTGCGGTCCCGATGTAGGCCAACCTGGGGCCTTCACCAACTCCCAGGATCTTCAGAAGCCCCTCCGAGTCTGCCGGATCTATGCTGGATGCCAGCAGCAGTGGAATGGATGACGAGGCACATTTCCTTCTGGTTGGAGAGTCCCTCAATCTTCTAATCGGTGGTGAGTTTGCGAAGCAGCGCGGAAAGGTGTCGTGTACCCCTGGCAGCAACACGACCGACCCGACCAACCTCGGCACCAACAGCGGGCTCGCAGTTACGAGGCTGCAGCAAGTCTTTCTGCGGCCTAGAAGCAGCTGTCCACAAAGCAACAGTCGTCGCCGCAAGGCAGCATCAGGCGACAGCATGCCCGAGGACAGTCTTGCTGCAAGGGTTGCCATGGACAAGTTGAACGTGGTTGTCTTTGCACACTGCGGTGCCTGACCAAGCTTCCATATGTTCAAGTCAACACTCCGATAACTACCGTCTGCTGTACGAACCGTATGAACCTTCAAAAGATCCAAGTAAACTGATCACACACGCATGTGCATGATCATGCAGTTGGCGGCAGCTACTAGCATCATTGCTGCGGTTGTCGTCGTTCAATTCCAGAGAGTCAGCCAAGCCTGTAAGGATCCGACCAGCAGCTGCTCGTGACCTCAAACTACATATACAGATCGTCAAAGGATGCTGCATTGCCTCTAATCCCTTGCATGGCAGCGCTTGGATCACAAGCTCGCGCAAAGGAAGGCCCATCATGGAAGTGTTCGGATGTCTTGAGGAGATCTTCGTCATTGAGTTCCAGGTTGGAAGACGATGTGAACAACATGACCATCTGCTATGCCTTCATGCCGATTGTTTGGGCTGTCCATGAATTCGTACGAGTTTGGTCCGCGCGGAGGGATCAATAAGTTGTAAAATACTTTAGTCCAGGACCAGAAACTGTTGCCTGCGAACATACCCGGGTGCAAGAAAGGCCAAAATTGGTCGCTTCGGAGCTGTCACTGGCTTGCGTTCTTGTTGCCACCGCTTGGTCACTCGCCGCGTCTTCTCCCACTCTCAGGATTTGTCGCCCGCTCTTCTTGGCGGTTTCAGGATTTGCCATGCTTGTCCTTTCAAAGGCCCGTGTCAGAGCCCCACCGAGGCGTAAACTAGGGCACCCTCTGAGAAGCAACAACAGCACTCGAAGGTTCATATAAGGGCCCCCCGCATGCGCAGAAAAGGCACGACTCGACTTTGTGTTTACCCAGACGATGTGATTCACCAGCTTTTTCTGTCTTTTCCAAGTGGTGTCAATGCCACTACCAAAAGCCTCACTCGAAAGGGATACCCCAGCCTCCTCCGCCAGCACAGACCAGCTGCATCATTAGGATCAAACATCATCGACACCATCACCAAGGCCGCCATGAGTTAACATGCACTGTCAAGCTCATCATGAAACGTCACAGCAGCAGCAACGACACAGCAACCGGTACCAGTGACATGTGGTCAACCGTGCAGACCATGGCCATCCTGGGCCTCTGGCTGAATGCGCTTCGACGTCTCATCGCATCTAGAACCTCTCACAAAGTGGACAGAGGGAGCAGGAATCAACAAGTATCAATACCCAAAAATCTAAACTAACTCCTGACCTGAACTGAAAACATGGCCTATAGTATGCATACTTTCGTAGGCCGTGGTGTTCCCAAATGTCGCACACTTGAAGCTTGGATGCAAGGATATCATAATGTATGGTCATGTATGTTGCATGTCCTGTTCTTACTGCTACAATGCGGTTTATGTACTTTGCAGTCCCATGCATGAGACACGTCCGGAACTCATGACAAATCGTGGCATGCTCTTACTCAATTTATGATACGTTATTGTTGCATCCGGCCTGTGCCACCGCCTTGGGCTCCCAGTCCTCAAGGAGATCTCAGCGATGAAACGACTCCAAGGGAGGATGTTCCGGAGCCTCTGCGGGTCGCCTTGCCAACTCCCCGAACATGGCACTGTACACCCTTGCGGCTCCAATGGGCTCCAAAATGATTCAGGGCAGGCCCTCAGGGTCTGAGCTCTTCACGTCGGACCGCCAGACCGCAGCTTGGCCAAGTTGTGGCAAAGCACCTCCAATACACGTCTGCAACAGCGGGCTGTCCATCCTAGGTCCTAGATCCCTAGATCTTGCCAGGCCCATGGTCTTGTGCTGTCACCTGTGAGCTGAGCCCGTGGCCCCAAGTTCGTACAACTTGTAGGCTTTCAAGTCTTCAGAAGACACCTCGCGAAGGCAGATGCTGGCATGTCAGACCAGCCACTTCCGAGCAAGTACGCCAGGTACAAGACTTGGTATGCTGAGGGGCACACTCGGGTGACCAGATTCTGAAATAACCGTACATTGTAGCCTCAGCTTTCACTGGAACTTCGGAGGATCTTGAAGCTGCATTCGGACCCTAGGTGCCGGGCAGGACAACCTGGAGAATGCATGAACAATGTTAGTCACATTCTGCGGGCTGAGCTCGTCGGTCCTGGCAGGGACAGCCTCTGCTACTGTTCAACCCCTGTGCGTTGCATCGTTGAACCTGGATGCCAGAATGTCGCCGAGCACGTGCATCCTGGCTCTTGCGGTGTATTTTTGCAGCAACCTCGTCTGAAGTGTCGCACCAGTTCAAGCTCGCAGGATGTGCGTTTGGCTCTTGCGCACCTGAACAGAGCTCTCCAAAAGGTCGCCGGCTCGCCCCGCTTGTGCCCTCCGCTGCAATGGGCTAGTTGTCCCTTTTTGGCGCTTTGCGGCGCTCCGCACGTGGCCATGTAACTGTACAAGATTGGAAGTTCCAAGAAGGCAAGCCTCTCGTTCGAGAGAATGGCCTGGAAAGCCGAAAGCCATGCCCCTTTCAGGATGCCTGCATGCCCGAAGGGCTGCACGCCCTGGAAAAGAGAGCAAGCTGAGATAGCAGGAACTCTCGCGACTAGTGCCTACACAACTACGTTCGTCTTCGGCTCATGAAGCATCGACGCCACCAAGTATCCCCGAGGAGTCGAGAAGACCTCTGGTGCCTTGGTACAGTACCCACATGTTTAAGGCACCTTTCTGATCAGGCCCGCTTTGCTACGACCGAAGCTTTCTGTTGCCGCCGAGCTGCTGTGGAGTTCATGGCCAGAAAGACATCAGTCAGGCCGGCCCAGAAAGGAGGATACTTGTACCTGGTAGCACAGTCCGCGAAGCGACTTTCTGAAACTTCAAGCACCGCGATGTTTGACTACTCTTCTCATCCGCGCCTGGCGACATCCATCACGAGAACACGATCCGACTTCTGGTCATAGGCCCCGATAGGACTATGGTGCCCGGCACCTGTGGCAGTGCAAGGCCGCTTCTTCTCTGGCATGGTGAGGCTCGTCTTGCAAGGCCTCTCTGGCCGAGCATCTTCCTGTCGAAGTTCACCCCGACGAACCTCAACTACATCTTGTCGCATACGTAGGCAAACAGGGAAGGAGGGAGGCAGATGCATGTGTAGCCGCAGATTGCACGACCTTCATGTCTTATGTCCCTGAATTCTCATTCAGCGACATCTTGACTGGGCCTCCCGGCCTGAGGCTGTTGTCGGAGAAAGCCTGCGGCATTTCTGTAATGGGATGAGGTCTCTGCTAAAGCTCACTTCATCCAGGCCTCGACAAGAGTCTGGCGAAACTGTTCTAGGCTGGACCTAGACGCCTCCACCTCGGTCAGAAGTCAGCAGCTTGAACGGTGGTCAAATCCCACCTCACCCGAATAGCAGAGCAGAGGTGGGTCATTAATCAACAGGCAGTACAAAGCAGCACTTGCGTGACAAGAGTGCGAAGTAAGGTTCTTGCGACGGTTGCCTTTGCACCGTGGCACCGCAACATCCCACCAATCTGAGATGGGCGAGGGAGAATCTGACGTGCCGTCAAACAGTGCAGCTTGTGGCCTGCTGAACGGATCCCTGCCAAGGAGATGTTTGCTCCTGGCAAGAAACCCAAGCAGCACAAAGAAAGGCTTCAGATCTTGCTTTGTGGTCACACCTTGATACACTGGGCTGCAGAGCCATTCCATACGTTTTGGCTGTCCCAATACCTGTAGACCTTGCCGTCAGGTGATCCTTTCGGCTTTCGCTAGGACTCTCGGGGGACCCGAACCTGCGCGAAGCTGGCGGAATGGTAAGAGTACATCTCAGAGACCTGGAGTCGGACAGGGGTCCCAAAGGAGCTCCGTGGACAGCCATCAGGGCCCTGCTGCAGCTGGCAAACCCTGAGCAGCCAAAGCGTTGAGAATCATGATCGCCTGGGTGTCGAAGATGCTCTCATGCTACAGCTTAACGTGCAAGATCGGCTTGGCACAAGTGAAGCTTTGAGCTTTGTGCTGTGGTCGGTCCACACATGCCAGGCAGCTCTGTCACGAAATGAGGCGACAGTTGCCAGTATGGCCTGTGTCGGAACAGGTGAGCACGACAAAGCTTCAACAATGAGCGCCACATGCTCAGACCGCAGCTCTGCATGCGAAGCTGACCTGTATGCGACCGCGAGAGTGCACACGCAAGATCATGCAAGTCTTCATGCCCATTCTGCGGCCAAGGACCTGAGCAACTGCGAACCGGAGGTTGTGTTGAGGAAGATGAGATCCTCATCAAGAACTTGCTGCTTGGCTCAACGGCGGTCTCAGAATCCATCGATTCTCCTCCTGGGGCCTGTTGCAGGTCACTTTCGAAACCTGCGAGTCGTCAGTGAGAAAACAAACGGCCAGCAGCTTGGACCACAGTGATGCAATGGTCCACACTCCTGTCTCAGTTCTGGACAAGCATCGTTGCCAACACGAGCCACGCCATTGCTGCCATCTCTACTCTTCAGTGTGCTTCGGGTTGTTCTTGCTCGGATAAGCAAGGTGATCCTGAAATGTTCCGACACTGCTGTCTGCCTGGACCATACGTGCCATCTCTCCAACATGGTATTGAGTGAAGCTTCAGCTTCTTGACCAACTCACACATGCAGCCGGTCATCTTCGTGTGGCTCGCGATCTGTCCACGAGCACTGCAAGCTCCGAGGCAGATGCCAGGCACTTGGCGAAAGCATTCATGACCAGGCCTCGGATTACATGTGCAGCTCACGGCATGCTTTATCAAGGTGTTCTGTGTGTGACATGGTCCCTGGACTGCTCGGAGCCAGTGAGGTGCAACCAAGCTTCGGGCTAAGGTGATGCACTTGGAAACTTCTCGGCTCTGTCTGCACCACGGACCTCCCGTGACACGAGGCGAGTATCCTTATAGTAGTCTGATAGTAATGCTCCGTCCATCTCAGTCCGATACCTTCTAGACTCATTCTATGTCCTAGTCGCCTATTCTGTCAAGTCAAGTGCTTTCCTGATGCCGAGTAGTACATTGGCTTCCTAGCAGAGAACTCGGTGCAGGTCCTTTTGGGCCGTGGCCTGGACAAAGCCTTGAACAAATCGGGGTTGCATTCCTGGCAGATCAAAAGATAGCAGTCATAGGAGAAAAGATTGCACCCTTCGGCAAAAAACTAGCCTCAAGTCGAGCGTACGAGTTGAGGATGATTGCGGAGTTGGGTCCACTGACCTGCCACTTCTCCAATAGAGCACCCCCGAGGACTTACGAGCCAAGCCGAGCATGGCCGAGCCTCGAGATAACAGTCCTGCAGCCGCGCGGCGCAAGCCTTTGTCGTTGTGAAATCTGCGCTGCGAAGTGATCGAAACCGCCCTCGATCGCCTCGAGGAGATGGTTTCGCGGTTGGTGTGCTAATTCTGCAAAGGCCTTGGCCAATGCGAGACGGGCACGGCATGGAAGCGCCTAGAAACGGCTCCGAGGCTGCTGCAAAAACTAGCCTCAGTCACCGAGACGCAAATTTCTGGTGATGCTTTCGTGTCTAAAACCCAACCTTGCACCTATTCTGTCACTGCTGCACCCAAGAAGGGTTTGTGCGCATTGGATCTCTCAAGTTGTACTCGGACATGCTCGGACTGAACATCGAACATTGGGATTTCGGCGTTGTTCTGTCTGAGGAATTTGGACCACTCCCGTCATAAGTTCATGCCATCCGAACAGAACTGACTCCTCTTGAGGCTGTTTTCTTCGTGATCCCTTCCCCAGGAAGCAGATAGGGGCTCCAAGAGTGGATGCTCCTCGGTAGCCGCTCACACCCATGCCCTCAGAACTCAAAATGCATACATAATATAGCAAGAGCTAAGAGCACGGCGATGCAATGTCAATAGGTGATAGCTTGTTGGCTCTGTCAGCTGTATGACTCGCCACTCCCTTCAGTATGGAGCTCGGTGCCGCAATCAATTCTGCCTGGCTTTTCACGGCTAGGGTCGCGACGTCCATGAGCTGATGGTTCCGGTAGCCCAGCCGAGCGAAACAGTTCAGGATGTTACCTTTTCAATGAGAGTTTCGGCCCCAGCTAGTACTCTGGTGCCACCGAGACCATAAGTTCGGAGTGCCACCGAGACTTGTATCCATCTGAGCATCAGGCACAGGCCGAAAAGTGGAAAACTGACCATGCCACGGAGGATCTTCAGTGGGATCCGAAGGTATCCAGCTGTCGCTCTGGGTGAACCCTCCTAGGCTTGCGGCATGGGAGGCCATAGTCTCCAAAAGCAAGGTGTTCCGCTGTCTCAGCCTGGCCCATGCTGCAGTGTGCAGTCTTCAGATCATGTGTATTTATCTCTCAGCTCACTGCCACTTCAACAAGAGCAGTAAGTTCGCATTGCTGGACTTCTCGTGCATTTTTGCGCATTATAACTTATTATAACTGTGGATCTCGTGCGCCGCTCGCGCAAGTGATCTTATACAATGTAGAGAAAATACTTTATTTGTGTGCACACATGTTGCCGGACTGAGGAAGTCTCACGTCGGGGGCATCTTCGTGTCAGCAAATGTGGTAGGCAACGGGTGACACTTCGAAGAACGTCTACGAAAGTTGTGGCGACTGCTTCTGCGGTGGGCAGAGGTGATCTACGTTTCCGCGCAGGACCAAATCATACCTTTGGCTCACAAACCAAGAGCACGACTGGGAAGAAGGCTTAAAACTTGAAGTTTCAAGTTGGGAACCAGATGTCTGCAATATTCTGCAATCTTGAAATCCAAAGTGGGGCCGCGGCTTCTGCAAAGATGAAGCCAGCTGAATCACCTGGAACCAGCTAGGTTTGGACCCGGGTCCTAAATTGATAGTGGCCGTGCACTTGATTTTTGCGAAAATTTCGAGGACTCTGCATCTTGGGCCCGGAAGCTGGAAGACCTCACTAGACATGCAACGCACAGGTCCCCATGTATCCCGGCGGTGCGTACTGTGACAAGCTCTGAGGCAGCAGCTCCGCTTTCAAACGTCGGGCCTGAATGAAGCGTAGTCATCTTAGAAGTGATCTTGGAAGTGACCGATGCCGCAACACAAAGCTGAGACCCGGGCCAATCGATCACAAAGAGCTGCGGCATCCTGTCGGATCCGGCAGAGCGCACAAGGCAGCCTGGGCCTGAAGTAACTTGTGGCCTGCTTCTTGGAAGTGTCCTTCACGGGATCCCTGCAAAGTACCAGTACGGGGCTCTGCGATTCGCTTAGCATTCGCTTGTCGCAGTGCCGTGTATTGCAACAACCCCTCTGCCTCGCCAGTTCAGCCAACTGCCGACTGAGAGCAACAGCCTCATCCCCACATAAAGACAGTGAAACCTCTCAGCCCATGCTTTGAGAGCATCTCCTCACGACAGGTCTCGATTGCTGTATAGTGCGACCAAGGCGAGCGCCGACGTCCCGCTCTCTCTTGTGTTCGCAACTGGGCAAGCTACGGGATGAAAAGGACATGCAGCAGTGGTTCAAGCGTCGATGTGCCAGCTTCTCCGAAGGCAGCCACCAGATCGTCTGCCAACTGATGAAGGCAATGCCCACCTTAGCGCGGATTGCAATAACTTGTGCCAGCCTCCTTGTATGCTGAGGAGCGAGCGAGCAGGACGCTATCTGGCAGCGCGTGCTGGGGCATGCCTAATTTATGAACGCACTTGGCGGAACTAGCAACCCACTGGACAAATGGTTGCGATGATTTCGAGTCCCTCAGCCTATGCGACACGAAGCTGCACGTCAGGCTCTGACAAGAAAGCTAGTCCAGCATGTTTACATTATTTCTGGTCTGTGCGACTGTCCTCTTGCGGAGCATTCCGCTGCACACATGTTTCTGATATGCGGCCGTGCTGCAGCGAGATTCCAAACAAGTCCTGAAAGCCGTGCTGATGCTTCTTGCCAACCGTTCGTCAAGCAACACTGCATCCGCACAGCATTGCTGCAACCGCCAGAAGACAGAAACACCTTCCACGTTAAGGACATTCAGCCCATTTCAGCCCCAAGTCCTTGGTCGATCCTCAAGAACTGATGACATGCTTTGGCCCACATGGCCGAGTCTCCATACCAACCACTTTGTTTTCTATGCTTCTCTGTTCCACGAAAGGAAATTGAACTCACTCGAAAATAGTTTTCTGTCTTTTGCGTGCATCTTCTAACTCTTTGGAGAAGCAGCTTGCTAATTTTCGAAAGTTTGAGATGTGGATCGGCTTAAGGTGGCAACAATCACTGTTCTTCTAGCTTGAGTGAGATGCACTGTGTCCCAAAGAGAGATGTAACATGACGACATGGAGTGAATGCCGCGGACTTGCAAGGCACAAGTTCGGCCTGCAGTCATCAATGCTTCTGTCTCCACAAGAGCCGCGCGGAGAGTTTCATTGAAAACGTGAGCGTAATCGCATGACTGCTTGGGTTTGAGCAGATGAAGCCGTTTTGTGTCGCTTTCGCCTGCAAAAGACTTGCACCCGGAAGCAGGCAGGTCAAAGGCATTTGCCTATTGCATGCCTGCTGAGGTCTATTCAGAATTCAGAGTGAAACCTGGCTGCGCCAAGCTGTTGTGGAGCGGGTTCCAGGCGACGAACTAAGCAACTGCTGTAGCCCCCGAAGACCTTGCGGCTGTGGTGAAGCAAGCACAAAGCGGTCAAAGACTGTGCCATGTCATAGATCCGGCATGACGCAATTTAGGCCGCAGCACAGCATCTTGCTCGAAACTTGCCAGGTAACGCCAAGTTTCTTCGTCGTCCTCGTCCTGCTTGCAGCGTGCTAGTTGCAAATACAGCGGAAGTTCCCAAGCTCGTCTGCCGACGTGATTGAAATACCTCCGACGACAAAAACATGCCAGCATGGCATCTGCACCGCCTTCCAAATAGCCTGGCATCATATCACGGATCGCATGCTTCCAGGAGGAAGTCTGGAACCGACGGTGAGGTAGATGGTAGGCAGAGAGCATTCTAGGGTCTACGAAGGATGAGCACCTTTGATAGGGGATCATCTGTGAGTTTCCGAACACAAGGGGTACCTCATTATGGGGTCCTTATAATGAGGATCCTACTATTTAGGGTACTATATTAGAGTCCCCTATTTTCGGAAACTCCCATCTGAGGGTCGCATTGTAAGCTGAGCCCGGTGGCCGTCGTTGGGCTGGGTCATGAACGGCAGGAGAACTTCTGGGAGGGCTTCAGCGCCTTGGCAAATGTCTCACTACACCCTAGACTCGTATTATTATTCTTATTATTGTTATTATTGGTATTGTTATTATTGTTATTGTTATAATTGTTATTATTGTTATTATTACTATATATATATATATATATATGTTGCGCGGTTCGACGCGGTTTGCGCTTGTGCTCAGCTTCGAACAGTTTTCCATCAGATCTTCTGGACGGAAAAACATTGAAAGCGGCTGGTGGGCCTTGCCTCGCATGCGCCTTCGTTGAGAATGTCTGGGATGCACAGACTTGTCAGACTCCGTTCGGATACAGTTGAAAGCTTGGGGTGCGTCCTTTCGAAAAGCATCTCCTCAATGTCCTTGAAACCCACCGGCAAGTTCGACCACCACGGCTCAATTGCGCCGCACCTGGTGATTGTAGAAGCAGGCCAGGTCTTCCAAGGTATTGCCGTCTGCCTGGCGACCAAAGATCGGTGCTGCTCTACCACTCAATCAAACATTCGTGCAGGTCGAATGGTGGCGGAGTTGCGTCACGTTGCTCCAGCGAAGCCCCTGACACAAAGCGCTGACTTGTCAAGCGAAAACGTGAGAATTGCTAGCCACAGTAAACATCACAACACTGCTGAGGCACCTCTGTCCAGCGCGGCATCAATGGCCTTGGAGTCACCCGCCTCGACAGCCTGCCAATCTCTGATGAAGTTGAGGCTAACTAGTGTTTCGCAACGAAAGCTTTGCATGGGACACTGTCTGTCCTTGATGAGCAGTTGGCCGTTTACCTCCTTCCTCAGGAGCACTTTGAGCTGTGCCAACAACCTTTCGTTTCCGATGCCGTGCAGATCCCACACGCGTTCGCTGAAGCTTCGAATGCGCCGTTCATCACTCTTGCGGCTGGCCTCAGCCAATGACCAATCGATGGCATCAATACGCGACTCCCACCTCAAAATATCCTCCATGGAGCTCCCATAGCCCCGTGGGTCGGCCGTACAGATTCGAAGCTTGTTGGCAGCTGTGGCCATCATGGCTTCAGTCAAAACCCAAAGCCTGGAAAAACAAGTTAGCTCTTTGTCCAATACCAGTAGCACTTCTTTGGCGCCCTGCACAAGAGCCTGCACAGTTGCAACTGGATCGTCCATCCTTCCCCCTTGCGACATCTGAGACGCCTGATGGTTCCGTGCTGGGGCACTTTCTGGAACATCTTCAGTGTTTCCTGACAAGTGCTCAGCTCCGAAGATGTCCACGCTGTATCGCCTGTCCAGGTCGGACCCTGCGTCGCGCACCAAGCAGTCTACGAGCTCTGGAAAGCTCGCATCCCATGCATGCACGACGTGCGTAGAGCAAGGCCCTGCCATGTCTCCGCCTGTGAGCGGATGTACCTCCTGCCTCTCTGCCAACTCCACAGCGCTATGCACTGATTCGTGCTCCTTCTCACGCTTAAGTCTCAGGGCTGCAGCTGTTGCCCGCGTCGTTTGTGCAGAATCCCTTGTGGGGCTGATGTCAACGAGGCACGACACCAGAAAAGCCGCGCTGACGCCAGTTGGAGGACCAGAACATCTTGAGGCTGGAAATCGCGATGATTTGGCAGAAAGGGAATTCCTGGTGCTGAAAGAGCACTCACTAAGAGTTCCCGTCTTCGTGCATGCCGATCCAGCGAGGGGTGTCAAATCTCTGGATCTCGCAGCAACTCGATGCTGCAACTTCTTCAACAACTTCGCTTCGCTCAAGCACGTGGCCTTGGAAGGAGAAGGAAGACGCCGCATGGCAGGAAAGTCATTCTTGCATGCTCAAGCGTCGGTACTTGTTAGAGCTGAGTCAAGTTCCCTGAGAGGATGCTGCTTCGACTGGTTCGGTGCTAGCCACAACCATCATTCGACAATGTCATGCATGCCTTGCGTTGTGCACGTGACATCGAAACTTGTAAATGCCATGCATGACTTTGCCAACCGCTGCGAAACTCCAAGCGTTGTTCGGAACAGTGGATACAGCCGTCTCCATGTGCTCATGGTGGTGGTGGTGCCGTTTTTGGCTGCAGCTCAGTTTCGAACTGTCGCACTCACCCGAAACAGCAGCAACGTCTAGCCTTTCTGCTAATCGAACATGCTCAAAACTTAGCTTAGGGGTGCGAGGTGTTGCAAATCGACATTCTTGGCTACAAACATACAAACTCACAACTCCGTAGACGATACATAATGCGCAGTGTACACATATACTTACTTGCCGATTTGTCGACGCATCTGTGTTTATATTTATATGTGCCTTCATCTATATACATACGCATGCACGCGAAGAGGATACTCGCATTGTTGAATGTTCAGGAGTGCACTGTGCATTGAGTATGATTACATGTACTGAAAAGAAGAATTGAATACGCATGAGTGTATCTGCTAGACCATGTGCTGTCGGGAGTCTCGGGCAAAAGTACGACCAGGTGCTACCATATTAGCAGTACCTGCGTCGTTCTGCCTGACACAGATCTTTGCACACCTTGACAAGCCTGCGGCCACTTCGGAGCGGCAGGGAGATGGCGCAGCTCAGTCGCCAAAGCTTCTGGTGCTTCTGCTGCATCCGTGGGACTCGAACGTAGATCGGGGCACATGCCCGAAATACAAGTGTGGAGCTTCCTTGGGAGAAGCGGTGTATACAAATGAACAAGACTCGATGCACAATTGTTTACTTTCTTCGCCGCAACGCAGTCCTTGCGTCGTGTGAAGCTCTTAGGGGCTGGCAACTTGTCGTCGCACCCCACGATACGCCCAAACACAGTCTTTTGCTCGCACCTGAGCAGAGAGCTCCGTAGAAAATTGTCAAGCACGTAGTTGTTCGATCTTCAAATTTGGAGATTACATCAACCGGCCTCCACGCTGATGCATCGTCTTGGCGATGACGAGGCAGAGGTTACCCGACTGCCTGCCGACGGTTATGTTGAAATGCTGGCTTCTCTGACTGTATAGGTCGGACGAAGCGATGGACCAAGCTCGCGACAGTCGGCAGAAGACAATCGGATCACGGCCTCCGAACAGGGTACATCCAGCGATCCAGTCTAGCAAATCCACCGAGCCCTTTGCAAACCCTGCCACAGAGAGGTCGACTTTTGCATCCGACCTACTGCGTACTGAGGAAGGCGAGCCTAGGAATACCTACCCTGCCTGCGGGCTGATGCCCAAGTGTGACACACTCAGCGTGCTCCGCCAAGTCATGCTTCAAATTCAGCGACGCATGCCCGGAAAGCTGCAGATGGTTGTCTGACACAACTTAGGCTATCCCAAGCCTGCTCACATGGCCAACCTTCTGCAGAGCTTGGCCAGGTCAAGCTGCACTGGTGAGAATAAGACAAGAAAAGACTTGAACGGTGAGCTGCGCGTCTTACGCAGCAGAACCGGGAAAAGCACTTGTCGCAGACCCTTGACTACCACATCAAACGACGGCAGGCCTCCGTCCTGAGGGAGCCGCCAAATTACTCCTCGCTCACAGAGGGTAGTTCAGATGGCGGCGCCATTGAGGGCCTGCACAGCGCCATTTCGCAGCACAGCCGTTTGCAACCCTCTGCGTCGGCGACGCACCAGCGTCGTGAAACTGCCCTAGTTAACCAGTGCAGGCAAGTTTCAGCACTGCTGCTTGTGAAAAGGGTGCAAACAAGCTGAACCACTCGTTGCGCTGATCCTGATAAAGGACTGCGACGGCTCGGCAAGCATGTCTGGTACAGCGGTCAAGTCCTCAGAGCTGGCTGCCAGTTGCAACACCCAGCGACCGCCATCTTGCTCCTCCAAGACCACAAAGAGGAATAAGGAATCTCGCACGCGAGACACTGAACGCTTCGCTTCATGTGCTCCTTGTCGGCTCTGTGGGCCAAGGGTCCGGGCTTCACCGCCACCTGGAAGGCGAAGGGTCGAGCTGCCTCCGCTTCATCCAGCTCCCTGAGTCGGAACCAATCCGCGCAAAGTCTCTGCGTGCTTGGATTGGCAGACTGGCCTGTGGGTGGCCCCTTTCTCGAGGGGATACTCCTCCCACCATTCTCAAGCATAGTTTTTGTGGAAATTTCAACGGTGTCAGAACTCTCTCTGTTGTCGCTGCCCACACTCTTGTACTTGGTGCAGGCATCCTGAGGTGCGGGATCTTCAGGCGGTGAGACCACGACACCTTGAGCGTCAAGAACGAATGTCGCCATCCCGTGATGTTTCATGCAGATTGAGAAAGCCAAGCCACCACCAGCGTCATCACGCACGACATCCGCGGCGGAGTTGCTGACGCACAAGATGCCTGAACAGCAGCTGTCAGCGTGCGGCGTCAGGTCGATGTGGAGTGGTGTGCGCAATGTTGCGACAGCTGCCTTTCTCCGTCAACCAGCAGCTCCGCAGCCGCCACTGCTCTAGAGACCTGTGGAAGGTCATGATATACAGGCTTGGGTGATGACTTTGCGGACTATCACAGGATTATCAGTCTCACCGAGCTCGATGCATGGGGTCACCTCCAGGCAGCAATGCCCACAAGACCCCGCTGCTGATAAGCTTCTGGTCCTCGAGGTGTCGGACTTGAGTGATTCAACTAGTGCACGTTTCTGCTGTCTTTGTTTGCTCCTGGGGCGGTCGAACAGGGCGACGAGATGCCAGGTGGTATGTCCTTGGGATGGTAGCCAAAAACAAGCCGCACGACTGCCTCGGAGCTAGGAGAGTTCCGGACATGTATTCGTACGGATCTTCTGGCAGGGCGGCAAAGAGCTCTGTCAGCATCTCCTGGAGCGAGACGGGAGCTTAGATTTAGCTCAGCGATGTGGCAGAAAGTCCTGCACGAATGGCTGGATCTGGTGCTGTTGCATATAGCCTGAGATGTTTCATACGTGACTATTCAAAGAAATCCAGCAGGAGTGCTTGATCATGCCGAAGCCTAAGCACTGCCGAAGCAGCTCACCATTGATTTAGTAGGGCTCTGCATGCCAAGCAGCCATCCAAAGCGGGGCCATCCGTGGTTTCATTTGTCTGCGACGTCTCTGCCATCGCACCGGCTAGCTTAAGCACTTTTCCTGGTTGTACTAATTTCTGATGTTCGGGATGCTGAGATCGAGCTCGGGTGTTTGATTGGCCCGGCGACACACTGATTCTAATTAGCATTTAATTAGGCGATTGGGCCACGATTGCTCAACTCTGGACACTTATGCCTTTACAAGCTCCGTACTTGCAGAGAATGTTAATCGAAATAATTATCACGGCTATGGCCATCTTCCTTGAGAACTTGCAGGGTGTGCGCAAACCCTCCAACATCCAAAACAATCTAACTGCTAACCTTCCGAGTCCACAACCTCCACTGGCTCCGAACTGCTGCATGACGACGCAGCATGGGTGCTGCACCTGAGCTTCTGAGCTCGATGGACATGCTGCGATTGCTCGCGTGCCACGAAACTCGTGTCATTTGCCGATTGCCCTGAGATGAGCAGCCGACTCCTCGGATGCTTTGGCATGGCGCCTATGTACCTTGGCTGCACCTATGTCCCTTCACAACAATGACTCAGGCACGAAGCCGCGCGAAAACAGCAGCCATGGTGCATGGAGTTGCCGAGCCGGCAACTCGGGTCTGCTGGAGAGCGGTGGTCGCATGTATCCCTTAGTCTGCGTGCCATGCTGGAAGATCTGCTCAGCCTGAAACTTGGCGAGATACAGAGGCAGCAGTCGGCCGACAGCCGGGGCAGCTGGGTGGCTTCGTCGCCTGTTTTTGCTGCGGGTGTCCTCAGCTGAGAGATCTTCGGAGTGTACAGAACTGGGCCAGTTGCGGAAGGATGCGAAAAGACGCTACAAGTAAAGGACAGGTGTCGTTGCTCTGGAGATGCTTGATTCGCCGGTGCGCTTCTTGCCAGCCTTCGCATTTTCTCCGGCAGTGACGCAGATCTCGGCGTCCTTTCAAAGTGACGACTTCCGTGAGATGGTGCAGCCCCTGCCCCGACCGCTACCGCGGCCTCGCGGTTTTCGCGATAGGCCTCTCGCAAGATGCCGGCCGTGCGCGCGCTGTGAGTCGGATTCCTGCCTTTCATAGGACATCTACGAATTTGCAGCTTCTCTCCACGCAGAGCACATGCAACCTGCAGCAGAAAGCTGTCCTGGCGACCCGTCTGCTGTTCGCCGTTGCTGTCCTTGTCCTTGCCGGTGCCACACCAGATTACTGTTGCGCAAACCACGATCGCATCTGCTCTTCGGCCGGGACAATCTGCAGTGCTGAGCTGGGAACTTTTGCTGCTGAGGAGGCCAAGTTCCTGCCGACATTGCTTCCGCCCTACTGTAGCTTTCGCAACTTGGTTTCGGTTGTTTTCGCACATTAGGTTCCTTTTTTGAGGTGTACTTGTACTTACACCTTATTACACGAAAACCGAATATCTGCGATGGTACTGTTCAGGGTTTTGTAATGGGGTCTCCGATTCTCTGTAACCGTCACATTATCGATTCGTTTTCTTTGGGAAGCTGGCGGAGATTTTTCTGGCGGATTGACAGGCATGCCTGAGTTTGACAGACATTCACCAAAGCTCCGGCCTCTATCAGCCCCCGAGACCCTAAATTCCTTGGACTTCATCAGCCATGCAAAGAACAACGCGCAACAACAAGAGCACCAAGACCAAAGCTTTAGGGCTTGTCGTGTTGGGGGTTCGGGCCCCAGTAGCTCAGTCGGCCTCGTGCTCGAATGTGGCGAGGAGGAATCGCATGCAGTGCACCTTCCATGAAGAGAGATGTAAACGCTGGGTGCATTTAGGGCGTCGTGCTGGTGCTAACACGTGCTTATTGGCAATAACTTTGTGTGGTGCAGTTTCTGCTTTGGGGCCAAAGCTCTAAGGCTTCATGTTGTCGGCGAACAGAGATTCCCTCATCGGTACGAACGTGGCATGGTTGATCGGCCAAACTTTTTGGAACTGCATCCTCCTTATGGTTGCCACCTCACGTAGGAGAAGCGCCTGCGCAGCCTGGCTGCTGAAGGGCCGATTGGGCCACATGGGAGTGCCGCCGCTGCGTCCTCAGTTGAAACATGCCCTCTGCACTCTCCATACATGGGGGTTTCCGAAATAGGGGACCCTAATATAGTACCCTAAATAATGGGATCCTTATTATAAGGGCCCCAAAATAAGGTACATCCGTCTGGCCTCTCCCTGCCCTAGCAGTTGCCATTCACGCCCAGCGTCAGCTTTCTGACCCACCTCGTTTCTTGGCTTGGTGCTTTGCCAGTCTGCCAGCCGCTGCAGCAGATCGACTTTCCTTTGCGTCCCGAAGACACAAAGGGCACACTCGCTCTCTCGCGACGGATCGAAGCTAAGCGCAGGAACACTTCATTAATCCGCTCTACTCTGGCGCGCGCCAGCCAGCAAAGAGAATTTTCTAGTCAGTGCCCAGGGAATACTATGCTTCTGAGTCCAATGATTACTTTCTCAAAACTCCCAAAGCCCTGCCAAGTTTCAACAGACATCTGACGCGCATTTAACGGGGTTGCATTTACCAACTCATGTTTTCTGCACAGCACTTGCATGTGCAAGACAATCTGCAATGATAGCCTCCACACGCACATGTATGACCGTTCATCAGTTTTGGTATGCAGAATATTTTCTGACTGATGCACAGCTCATCATAGCTCGTTTGCTGTTTCATCCATGAGCACTACTGCTAACACATTCTTTCGAATGCAAGCTGAGCACGTTTCTGGCACTTCAACGACAGCCTTTTCCCGAAATGGAACGGTGGGGTTAGGGTATGCAGAACTGATGACCTCCGCCGAGGCATAATGAATGGCTTGCAAACCTCTTCAACAACTTTACGATTTTTTCTAAGCCCTGGTAGTGTCATGCATCTAGTTTCCGGTTTGGCCCGGATTCTTTCTTCTTCGAGTGGATGATCTTTAAAATTTGTTTCAGTGCTAGCGGGTAGCATGCGATGTGCCACAGGAACAGCCCAGCAGCGGCTTCGAGGAAATTCATCGTCAGGCACGTTTACCCACAGTCCGTGGTTCTCTGTCAGCCGAAGGAGGACTGCAAGGGCCCGCTTGGGACTTGCTGAAGGTTTCTGTTCTCGTTGCACGCAGCTTGCAGTATCGCAACCACTTGTGACGACTTTTCTGTATCACCCGAACCTAGCTGCTCATAAATTGCTGGCCCCATGACATAATCGTCAAACAGTCGCATTTGTGGGTGCGTTGGCTTAGGCAGAGCAGGCGATTCGCAGGATTCAGATAAACTATCCACAGATAACAATCCGTCATGCCGGCTGGCAGCGCAGGGGTTGGCTGCGACGGGCTGGCCCTCTCATAGCAAACCTGGGGCGGGCGGTGCGCACAGCGACAGATTGCGGCCACCACTGGATTTGTTACTGCTCCCCAAGCACCTCATCAGCCTGAATGCCGTCCAAGACGGGGCATCGCACATCTTTCACAGCAGAGGTCACACCTGCGCAGTTTGCTTCCTGCGTCCCACTCGTTCAATGATAGCTGTGGGCAGTCCGAGAGCCGTGCAGAATGAAACTTCCCCGTTAGCGGCTGTGCTCCTGTGATGCCATGTCTGGGTAGCAGAGGACAGCAAGTTCAGAGCCCAAGTGCCAGGCAGCGTGAGGTTTGCATGAGAAAGCCAGGGTCGAGGCCAGTGCTCCTGCCGAAAGACCCACCATGCCGGTGCTTGTCCGGCTAGGATGAATACAAATTGAGCATTTCCTCCTTCGCTTGTGCAGGAAGAACGTGAGGCTCCAACTCTGGACTGTTGGCATGGCTCGGATCACCGCCGGGGCTCGTTAGTAGGGCAACGGCCCGCTGCCTGGGAAAGAGTTGGCTCATGGTCAGAACGGAAACGTTAAACTAGCATGAGACTCGATGTGTTCCTTCTTCAACTGGAAGTTCTCACCGCTGAGTCTGCAGCACGAAGATGCAGTGTTCTGCGTTGTTGCGGCACGTGGCGTGGAAAGCTTTACGTTTTTGAAACATCTATGCTGAGTCCTGGTACTTTTTCATACTCAGCAGTACCGAACATGTACGAGGGCCGGTTGCAGGTTTAACAATCTGGAGTGTAGAAAACTTTATGCACTGCCCGGATGTAATGTCGGCAATGCTGTGCTTTTTGCGGCTTCTCATTGTCACAAAATAACAGCAGTAAACCCATGATCCAGAATTCACGGTTTGTTTTCATGCCTTGCATGTCCAGTGAACGAAACACGTTCCGCAAATCATCCTGTGCCTGGCCCTACTTGCCTCATGCATTGAAAACATCAATGCAACTGTCCAACTTTCAGGTTACCTATCTGGTTTGTCTTGTACATCGACAGACAACACGCGGCTCCAATTCTTGTCGTCAGGCAGTGTGAGCCTGCTTCAGCACAAACCCATGTTTCTTAGCGTCGATACCCTAATTATCCATTATAGTCGGCCACGGGCCACACGTGGTTCGCAGTCTTCAACAAGCCTTTCCACGTTCTTGTCTCAGAAGGGGACGAGGCTACGGAGCAATGGGGCGAGCTAAGAGGGCAAGGGAATTCCAACAACTGCTACAAACATTCGAGAGGTTGAATATTGCGAAGCAGCAAAAAGAGCCAGCTCGTGAGGGCATGCAGAATTGAACGACATAGTTAAAGTGTTGCTAGCCCCTCATCCAAGTGCGGGCAGGCGACATCTCTGCAACATTCTCAGAGATACGTCCTTCTCCATGTTCTTCCTTCTCCAGGTTTCACTTGTGCGACTGGCAGCTGAGTTTATAGCTGGGCAAAAACTTCGCGCAGCCTGCGCCGTTGGACTCGACATCTCTGCCTGCAGTGCGTGCGCTGCTTCACAGCAGCTTGTTGTAAGGCAAGCCCTGCGCAGAATCGTCTGCCTCCAGGAAGCCTGCTTTCGCTTTCGTGCTTTGCGGTGGAACCGGACTTGACGGAAGCGCTGCTTTCTCGATCCTGGGTGCCACCTTGAGCCGTGCACAGCGCTAGGTCCAGGTTGGCCCACTGGTCGAGCTAAAGCTGGTCTACAGCCGTGGTTGTGGAAAGGCTCTGGCGGGCTGCGGATCAATCGGCATCTTGGAGAGACCTGGTGCAAATATGAATCGAGTCGTCTTCTCAGCCTGCGGCCCCTGAGTTGACGAGGGCAGGACAAGACTTTGGTGTTGCGGCCTCGGCCGCTGCCAACAGATCATCCAAGCGTCCTTGACCTTCAGGCATTCCGTGCATCCGGTCTGAGAGTCGCTCAATAAGTTGGGTCTCTTCTCGGAATTACCCTGCTCCTGCCCTATCCGGAAGAAGGCCGCTAATGTCTTGTCCACAGAAGTGACCCGCGGTAGCCTGAAGATCGGAGAGGCTGCCAGCGCCTCCTTTGCGGCCGCTTTGCCTACAACACTCTGCGAGCTCAGCGGTGTTTGCAATCGCTGGGGAGACACACACACACACACACACACACACACACACACACCAAATCGTCCCAGTCGCAGACGCCTCGCCAGCGAGGCTGGCGAGGAATGCTTGGATCTCCGGTCCTCGGAATTCGCGAAGGAATTCAGTCACATCTGCTAATGGTACGACGTGCTGCGGATCTTGCTGAAACCTCCCGTGTCGTGGCTTTGTTTGGCTGGCACGTCATTCTTTTGTCGGAACTTAAACTGCCCAAACAACCTCCAAATCATGACGGCCAGGACTAGGGCGAAAGCAGTGGCCACCTGCCACAGGCTCACACTGGCTCTCGGATGCCCGGCATGCAAGATGCTCGCAGCAGAGATGTGTCCGTGGGCCGCGGCAATTTGAGCAGGCGTTCTGCCTTCCTGGTCAAAGCTTGGGCATAAAAGCATTCGAAGCCACTGCATGTGCGCTACGGACTTAACATTTTGGTCGAGGGCTACCTTGTCTGGTTCCACCATTGATCGAGTTCGCAGAAGTGCTTCGATTACTCCCTGGTGTCCAGCTTTCGCTGCGGTGTGCAAAGGGCCCCAAGACATCTTGTTCTTTCCACTCATGCTGAAGCCATTCTCAGCTAACCACTGTATCACGGCAACATGGCCGAGCTTCGCTGCATGATGTGCCAGTGTCCACCCATTTGCATCTTGAGAGTGTAGATTTGCGCCTCTTTCCCGAAATGCTGCAAGCAGTGCAGTGTGACCGGCTCTGGATGCATGTCCAGCGATGCTAATTCCGTTTGCGTCCATCTCGTCCAACTGATGCGTCCGGCTGCTTCTGAAGGCTGCAAGGTCTCCCCGGCACGCGCTGAACACCAAGCCTCTGGAGGTTCCCTGACCGCCGACGGTCAAGCTCCAGTTACTTTGAACAAAAACTGCATGCCACCAACCTCGCGGTAAAAATACATATTCCCCAGCATGTTGCAAGCAGTATCGAAAACCAGCTCTCTTCAATGCCGCTTGGTCATGAATAAGGTAGGGACGGAGCGGGAGCTTGCCTGGCGGCATGGCGAGCCACTCCTTGCTTCCGGCGAGTAGTAATGCCCACGTCCGATCGTGGCTGTGTAAGGGAAAGGAGCCTGGGGAGATGCCGATCGCAAGGAAAAGCTCTCGCGCAGTCTCGCTCAAGAACTTTGGGATGCCAACCGTGTTTGCTACGTCTTCATCGCAGCTTGGACTGAGATGACATTGTCTGAAAGCATATGGGATCGACTTGTTGCTGTCCAGGCGTTTCACGAAATCTCTTGCTCGTATCTCCTCACCTTGAGTGAACCCATGTTGTGCTTGACTCTCGATGCCGGCGGTGATGTACAGTGATACATTGCCAAAACCCTCAATGATGTTTGATACAGGCATTGCACTTCCAGCGCTCCGAATCAGCAGTGGTTGTGTCACTTCCTGCTCGAATCCAGGTTTCAGGCTGGAGGACTCAACCTCTTCGAACTCACATCTGGAACCCGATCCCATGGCGAGCAAACTAAGACGCAGAAACAAATAAATATTTACACAGCTTCTACCGGTTTCCCGTGCATCTCAGCTTACTGGTCGTGTCTCCTACCTCTTTGCTGGAGCCAGAATGCCCTCTTCTGGACGCCGCAGTGAAGCCGACTCATGCCGACTCGAGAGGAAAACCAGCGTTGTCCCCTTTGTTTCAACCAAGTCACGTTCTGGATCGTCTGAAGGCCAGCCTTCCCTGTGACGAGCTCTGTGGATTATTGACGCTCTTCTCGATCTAGGGTCTTTCGTGGACGCATGCCTGTAGCCGCAGTCGCTAGGGCTGGAGCAGTTCGCTACCTGGCAGCGTCTCAGCGACAACAACAGCCCCCCACCAAAACCCAAAGGATCGGAGGCCTCAGGCTCGGGAACATGCTCTGTCATCGTGGCCACTTCCACCTTGGCATGTACGGTCTGGGCTTCTGCATGCCACGGGGCTACTGGCATTTGCACGCGCCCCTGCCTTGTTGCCTTCAATCCGGCAAGCTTCACGTGACAACGATGCTGCGTGTTCCTCGGGCCTCAGCTCGTGACTCGACTCGAACATAGCCTGGCCTCTTCTTGACCAATCGTTCAGGCGGAGACTGTAGCGAGCCTGAGCCGCCTGAGCCTGACAGGAATCCTCAGCTGCAGTGATCTTCTGGTCACATGCGAAGGCAAAGCTGATGCTGAAGGCTATGCACCGGGCCAAGATCTAGCTGCACCTCGTCGGTGTCGCTTGCGCCAGCCTGGGAGTTCCGTCAAGTAAGGCCCGTCCACTTGACAAGCTCACCTACGACTGCGCTGCCATTCGAGAAGAGCAAGGCTGCTGGCAACACCACCCTGTCTCTGCAGTCTCCGCAGCAAGCGCCGATGCCTGAGGCTTAGCGTTCTGGTAGCTCATGAAGAGTCTCCATCGCCAGCCAGCACTGTCAATATGCCGAGACTGGCAGGAGACAAAGAGTCACTTGTGCTAGCTGCTAGCTATTGTTGCTACACTGTTGCGATAATTCGTACTGCTTTTATCTTGCTCATGGTGATGCTGCTGATGACCACTGGTTGCCACAATTGGTTCCCGTCCTTTCTATTTTTGCTACTGCTCTTGATGTTGCTGCTCCATTTCCGCGACTAGAGATCCATTCGAGACTACTGCTGCTGCTACTGCTACTGCTGGTGCTGTCGCCGCTACTCCTACTCCTCCTGCTCCTACTCCTACTACGCCTGCTGCTATTATTGCTATTGCTGCAAATGCGCCTATTCCACGCCATTGCAACTACTATTATAACAACAACAACAACAACTACAACAACAACAACAACAACAACTACTACTACTACTACGACGACGACGACGACTACTACTGTCTCTGCCACTACCACCACACCACCACAACGACCAAAACCACGACTGAAGATAAACGCGGCAGGAGTACTGCTATCTTGCTACAGCCTGTTGTGACTGTCGTCGCCTTCCTCCTCCTCGTCCTCCTCCTCCTTCACCTTCCCCTCCTGCCCCCCCCGTCTTCTACGATCTTGTGTCGTACACTGGCCGTGGATGTGTGGTATTGCAAAGGCAATGCTGCTGATGATATGATGATGCTAAGGATGATTAGTGCGATGTCGCTTGCTTGCAGTGATGGTGAAGTCTCACTCCCGAGACCCCTGCGCACCGAGCTGGTCCTCAGGAATGCCAGCGGACTCCAGCCTGCCATCGGCAAGCAGCATCCTTTAAACGCGGAAGCCATAAACGGTCGTGAGATGGTGAAATCCTTTGAAAGCATCTGTTACGGAGAAGGCCAAGGCAGTGCCGACCCCCCCCTGTAGCACCTCCGAGCCCTTGCTCCAAGCAAGCGAAAAACAGAAGCCGCATCCCCCAAACCCCATCTACATGCACTGAAAGCAAGCGACAGACAGTGGCCGCATTGAAGGGAAGCTTGAATCCCCAGCTAGATGTGCAACACCTGCGAAGAAGCTACAGTGCATGTCTCGGAAAATAAGCCGCGCGCGACGATACCCCTTCTTACTCGTGTTTTGCATTAGGACGCTACCCCGAAGTGAGTCTTGAAGGGCCCAGGCCATGCGCTATTACCCTGCAGCATATTCAGGAAGACCGTATACCGAATACCTTAAAGCCGGAAGATGGACGGAAACAAGGTGCGAAGCAACTAGTGGCTTGTAAAAGTTAACAATGCAAAAGATTCCGGCGAGGACTTTTACTTTTCACAGCAGCAGCAGCAGCAGCAGCAAGGCTTCACAATCGGCACTTTACCACACATCCAATCCCTTTACAGCATGTTCCAGCTGCGCCCGCGATGCTGCATACTGCGAGGTTGCGCAGGTATCAAGCTTGTCAGCAAGCTCTGGAGCACAGGAGGATTGCTGCTGAACGGCAGCCTCCAATATCTGGGCAGTGCAAGCCACATCTGTTTCCACCAGCTGAGCAGGCATCTGCAGCCACAAGCTGAGCGCAACCTGCCAAGAAGGCACGCAACATGCCCCGATAGCATCACTGTGACTTATCAGATCGGGCCGTGCATTGGCCGTTCGCATGGAGCTCAGAATGTCCAATGCCGATGTCCACTGGTAGCATTCTTTGCATAACGTGATCGCGCTTGACAGCAAGACCCTGTTTGGCTTCAAATCGCTGTGCAGGCATCGCAGCAGGAAGCCTGTGGCCAACCTGCCGGAGAGACGATATCCGGTCCACACTAGGCTCCATGTGAACACATCCATCTCCATGCGAAGGGTATGCATCACGTCCAACAGGGAAAATGCAGAGTCCCAGTGTCGACTTTTTGCAAGGCCATCACCAGCAGCATTGAACGCTAGACTGTTGGATTCGATGCCAGACTTGTACGCAGTCTTCAGCAGAACTAGTATATGTCGCCAGCTCGGTGCATCAACTGCGCTCATCGCCGCTGTGAAACCCACGATGTCGAGCTGTAAACTATGTTTCACGATATCTGCTTGCGCCTCGACGGCATGTTCCCATCGTGCCACCCTGGCGCAGGAGCTGCAGGCGGTATTGTGCAGAAAACTGTTCCCAAGCTGCAGATGCCGCCCCAGGACAGCGTCAAGCAACGACAAGGATCTCTTCCAGGTGGCTTTCCTGTCCAGTGTGCTGCTCAGGGAGCTAAAGCAAACAAGGTTCGGTCGCGTGCTTTTAGAAGCAGCTTCCATGATGGCCAATGCAGTCTCCCACACCACGGAATGTAACAAGGAGCTCCAGACCTGGGTTGGCGATTTCATTGGGTCAGGCAAAGGGAAAAGCAAGAAAAAAACATGCTTATATAAGAGCACTCCAGGCACGATCTCGTTGCTTTGCAAAGCAGTCCTCTGCATTTGGCTGAGTGCACCAATTGCCAGCTCCCAGTTTTCACTACCTTTGCAAGTGTTGATGACAATTCCAAAGCTTGTCTGACTGAGCCTGATGTTTGCTCTACATACAGTCTCCATCAGATTGAAGACAGTCTGCCATTGATCTGCTTGCAATGCTTGTCCGGAGGTGTTCAGCGTGATCACATCCTGCTTCGCACACATCTGCAGCAATTGCTTGTGCAAGTCGAAGGCCCTTTGCCAGTTCTCACGTGAAAACGCAGCCACTGCTGCGTTGAAAGTGATGATGCTGGCTCGCAGCTTCGGCTGAAGGGCTTCTAGAAGGTGTATGGCGCCTCTCCACCTTTGGCTTCGCCCACAGGCAGAGATCCGCTGGTTGTGGTCCACTACATCCACGATCAAGCCTGCCTGATACATGTGTTGCAGTCTGGCCACCGAGATCTCCCATGGTCTAACTCTCGCAGCGTCACACTTTGCTGGAATCCAGGCCGTGACCTTGGCCGCACCTCAAAAGGCTCTAGCCACTAGAACTCAGTGTCTGCCCTCTCGTTCTGGCTTGGCCGTAGCTCACTCCAACGAATCTCTGCTTCACCACCATCGCCATGCAACTTCGGACCCTTCTCCATGCAAGTGGACTGAGGCAGCGAAGCGAGTCGCGGGCCTTGTGTTTCGGTGGCCAGTAAGCCAGCAACCATGGCGACATGTCTCACTCTGTGATGAACACAAATTGCTTCACAGGTTTGAAGCTGACCAGACCGGGCGTTCTTATCATGTTGCGATGGCAGAGACATGCGTAGGAGCTGCTACTTGTCCTTCATGCCATACGTGCCTGTGGAAGAGGTCGCTGGCACAATGCAGTGCTGCACGCACCTCCAGGCCGGAACAGGGTGTAGGGGCTGTCTCTTGCCGGTGCGACTAGCAGCCTCTCGCCAGCTGAAGGCTTCGAGCGCGGCACCTCGGTCGTGAAATGGTAGGAGGTGGGACATTTGCTGCCACTAGGACACAGGATCGCTCTGTCTGATCAGGTTGCAGCTGAACTTGGGCTGCCTGCTTTGAAACACCCAGAGGACAAAGAGGCCAGCATATGCACGAGCGCAGGTCAAACCTTCGAAAAACTGGCACTTGCAGACAACAGCTCCCGCATTTGTGCGTGTCGCATTCATTTTGCTGGCCTGCGACAGGCGATAGTAGGGACAACCTTGGAGCAAGCAACAGAAGCACTGACGAAGAAAGCTCAGTTTCGTCATGTCAACCATGGTAGATGTAGATGACTTGTAGATGGTAGATGCCTATTGTCGGACGGAAGACGCTTGTCGGCAGCTCCATCTCACGGCAGCGATGTCCTGCCAGGCTCGATAATGTGTAGGCCCTCAAGTTCGCCTGCATGCTGAGCCACTGCGGATCCGGACCGCGGACTGCGAACAGCGCTCCTTCAGCTGCCAACAGATTTCTGCCAGGCCTTAGCCACGATCAAAGCGAAATAAAGCGAAGTGCATCTGTTGACGGAAGCTCCAGCCAAGGTCGTGGCAGGTGTAAATACCTTCCGGGTTGGCAGTGCAGGTCGGCCACCTGCAAGGGTGCGCGGCGCGGCCCGGTTTTAAGGCCGTAACCTGTACACGCAGCCTCTATGTATGCATTCATATGCTGTGGGAGAAGATCAACTAAACATCCGAAAATGGGCTGCGCAGGCGCACGGGTGCCTCTGGAGTATTGCCTCGCAAGTTTCCAGGCATCGTCTGGAAGCCTGCAAATACTCCGATCCATCGCCTCCCTCGGCTGGCTTCGCCTTTGAGGCCTTCTGGCCTCTTCCGCCCATTGCGAGGCGAAAGACTTCTGCTGCATGGAATAAGCGCTGGTAGCGAGCAGCTGCCCAGCTGCCATCTTCCAGCCAAAGACTTGCACAGCTCTGACCACCCTCAAGTCGCCAGGCTAGGGCGCACCATCGAGCTGCTTCGAGCCAGTTGCTGTTGCGCAAGTGTCTCTCAGCCAATCGGTTGCAGCAGTTGCGCCCAAGCAGTGCTACGGATCGATCCTCCTCGGACCAAGCCGGGCACTCGGAAGCATGTACAGCTCCGGCAGCAGTCAGCAGCTGCCGCTGTGATGAAAACACCTCCTCTTCCACTCCGACCAGTCGGCAGACCTCGCCGGCTGCCTCCTCGTACTGTCGAGAGTGCCAGTACTCCCACAGCTGCGCAAACATTGCCATGGCATTTTCTCATGACCGGGCGAAGGCCCATTGTTTGTGACGAGTCAATGTCAGATGAATCAACCGCTTTGTCCGAGTTTGTACACCTGAGTTGAAGGCTGTTTTGGTAGCTTGAAAGCCTAGCAAAGGTTCAGCTCCTTCTTTCATCATCGGGCTTGGTTGGGTTCGAGTCTCAGGGACGAACAGTGCCGCGTTTAAACTAGTGACTAGCCCGAAATGCATGCTGAAGCCTGAAAGGTCAAATGAGTTTGTTTTGGCCGATGTTGTTCAGTCGAACGCAGCTGCTGCTAGTGGTCGATGGAACTTGTGCCCATCACCATATCACAAACCGAATGTTACAGATTTTCTTTCACCGTTGGGTGCGGATATTTAGCACGAATATTAGAGCACCGGGGCATGGTCTTGATTTTATGGTTGTCTTCACCAAGGACATTTCTCGCGGCGTGGGCTCCGCGAGCGATCGGAGCGCGAGTCCTGGAAAGATGAAGTCGCACTGAGCCAAACGGAGGGAAGCGGATTTGCCTTCTTCGCATCGCCGTCAACCCACCCTCCCTGCCGGACAGTCGACAAATCCAACTTAGATCCAGGGTGGTTTCGAGTCACTGCCTCCAATACCAATTCCACCTCAGCATCAGAGTAGTTTCGCCATCCGGTCCTCGCCAGCTATTCACAACATCGCAGCCCCGCCAGACAACAGTGGAACTCCTTGGAGGACGATCGGCATCGCACTCAGCATAGAAGCATTCGCCACCGGACCTGAGACACGTGCTTGCACTGGACATGTGCAATATTGTACATGTACAGAAGCATGATTGCAATGAGCGGAAGATCCGAGTCTTGTCTGTCGAGGCTGGGACGCATCACAGATCCACCAGGTGGGCTTGTCATCGCCGCCGAGAGTGAATGCAATACTTGGCCTTGCTCCCTCGGTTTTGGGCCTGTCATGCGAAAGCATCGCAATCCTCGTGACATGCTCCCATAATCTCACAACTCCGCCGAGCGGCCCCAGAAATACGGGTTTGCCGTTCTCTGTCTGTGAACTTTGCACATATCTGCCGAAGACATCGAAGTCCTCTGGGAAGCGGCGCGAGGCGAAACCGCGTTAGGGAGCTATGTTGGCGTCCACGTGCGGCTTCGGTCCATGGCCAACTCTTCGGGGCCCTTCAGCTCAAGGCCCTCGGCCCCCTTGTAGTCCCCATCGAAGTCCTGCCGGAGGTGGGAAGGACATGCCGCGAACATCAGCAGCGAAAACTGAGCAAGAACTGCACCGCGAGTCCTCATCTCGGTCATAGTCGTCACCGGAGCCATCCTCGTCCGGCAAAGCCATGTCCAATGGATCCTCCTGCAACGTCAGGACGCTGGTCAAAGGTGGCCAAAGGGCAAGCTTCTCTGGCTTGCCTTCGACATGACTGGAATTCGCCGAGGCCCCTGGCTTGAGCCAAAATGAGAACCTCGCAGAGTCGATGCTCATGTCTTAGCCGGAGTGTTTGCCGTTGTGTGACGGCGGCCACGCGGCAAGACCCCGCAGTTCCTTTGGTTATATCTTCGGCTTTCCGAGCACGGCTGCGCGGACGTTGTGAAGGTGAAAAGCAGATGGACTTCCGACACACTATCGCATCTCTGATTGCAGTGTGTAGTTAATTCACATTCATCAGTGCATCCCTGTGCTATGAGAGAGGTTGTATGCATCCTCACTTTTGATGTGATGTCGCTTTACTTAATGGTGAAACTCCTAACTCACACCTTGAGGATGTGCTCACGGACCAAGCCTGGGCAGTGCCAAAGTATATTCCAACTGTGTGCATCCAGACAAGTTGGGAAAGGGTATTGGTATTTGAGTCTTCATGCATCTTGGCAGGAGAAGTAGATTGCAAGCACAGTTGGCTGCGGGCCGTTTTGTTTCCTTCTTCTGCGTATGTAGAACTGAAACATATGAATATATCATGTATGTATGAGTTTACACACATAGCACAAACACACAACCCCTTACTCACACACACAGAAACAAACGTGCACTTGCATACACATAAGGCCAGGCGAGCATGTGTTATGTTTTATTACGCTATGTAGCGTCATGTAACATATTGCGCCGTGGTGTACCTATGTAGCAGTGCGTGCATGCATGTATCATCATGTCAATGTACTTATGCGCTCAAGGCTTTCAAAAGGCTTATGACTTTTGGCGTTGGGTTCAACGCCAAAACTTCAGGTTTGGTGCAGCTGGCACGGTGGACCGAGGACATGTGGGTAGTTTTCTAAATTAGGGTCCCTTTTGGGGTCCACTTTATAAGGGTGCCGTACTATATTGGGGACCGAAAAAGGGACCCCAATTTAGGGAACTATCAAGAACTATCCATGTCCTCAGGCCCTGCACAACCGACTTGTTCTGGTAACACTCCTGACACGTTTGTCAGTTGAATCCCGCGTGATCCACCGAGAATGTTCACCCACCCAGATTGCCAACAACGCGCCAAAGTGAACTTCGGGCACGCAAAATAATATGAGTCGTCGAGTGGTCTCCACGGCGGTAGCATGCTTCTTTCGTCAAGAGCTTGGCCCCCAACTGCCTTGCGACTCTGGGTTCGAGGTCATCCGAGCAGGACCTTTGCAGCCAAACCGAGGCAATCAGACTGCAGTTGCAAATCTGCAAGAAGTCTGACCCATCAAGTGCATTCAAGTCGCCAAAGCGGCATAGTGGATCGTCTCACATTTGGCTTGACATCGATGATGGAGGAGTTTGGACTTTTATACTTCGATTCTTTCGCTGGCCGGAGCCAGGTGTGCGAGCTCTTCTTCGCCTTGATCGCCCTTGTGGTGTCATGTACGAGACTCTGATGTGTAATGTCCTGACACAGTGAGGGTCAAAGCGAAGCAAGAATCAGGACCTCGAATTTGCCACTTCCAGGTAGGCTTATGCACGAAAACGTGAGCAAGCTAGAGCTTGAGTGCTTGAAGGGGATACGATAGACAAGACTCCTCAGTCACGCTTTCTTACGGGGAGTGGCCGGAATCAACAGTCGAGGAACAACAGGGCAGTGCTATGGGCGCATATCTTCACATCCTCCTCTGCTCGTAGTGAACTCAACGACTGATATATGTGCTGATATACAGCCGACAGCACTGCCAAATCCGACCATTTCGCGCAGTGGCTTGCGAGAGTCTACCGCCTCTAGTCGCGCCAGGCCATTATGGACAGTTCGGGGGATGCATCGTGCGAACTGCAGGTGCCCTCAGGCAAATTTTGCAGCAAAGGCGCTATCCTCGCTCGGGTTCGAAATGACAACTCCCGGTGCTGGCATGCACAGATGGCCGGAGCCACAACATAATCCCCATGGGCCGCGGGCAGGCATGTCACGTGCATGTGAGCTGCGGTGAAGCTCTTGGTGGCCGGGGCCACATGGACACGCTCGCCTCCGAAGAGAAGCAATCGCAAGGCCTCGGACTGTTTAAGTCGCGACGAACAGCGAGGCCAGCGCCAGCAAAAATCCTGAGGCTCAGGGCATCGCGATCCCGTGCGGCCAAGTGGAGCCAGCGTGAAGCCGCGTACAAAAGCCACTAGAGCCATGATGACGCTGAATTCAGCTCACCTAGACCTAGCAGAGCGACCAGTTCAACATACTCTGATGCGGATCTGCATGATGAAGTTTAATTGCTATCAGCCAAAGACAGGGTTGCAAATAGTAGGCATTTTGCCCAGTGGACCGCTCTGTAGAGGGCTAAGGCGAACTGGGTAGACGGTACCGTAAAGATGGAATGAGCCCCCATTTCTGGGCCGAGACGGCCTGCGAACTAGGCCATCTTGGACTCCTTGGCGCAGTTTCTCTGAGTAGAACCGAGCCGAAGCCGAAGCCGAAAGGCAAGGCCAGGAGTTTCTGGTTCACGGCTTCCTGGATATCTGCAGACAGTTTTGTTGCAGGCTGGACAAATCTCGAAATCATTGAAATTTCATGCACATAGCTCTCACAAACACTTGCAGCCATGTAAGAACTGCTGGTGCATAGAGATGTGCTCGCTTGTATCGCTTCTTTGCATGCTGCACCCCCTGTTTGGACTCGAAGGGTGGTAGTATGACAAGGTGTAGCCCCTGCATCCCACATAAAATGGATGAATTGGGGAACAAGGCTCAGGGCTCCGCACCCGTGTCAAGCCAAACTGAACTTGATGCCCCCGAGCCTCGTAGACATTAGTGCACGAGTTGATATGGGACTCTGCCCGTGACCTCCACGGCCACAGCCTTCCTGTGGTGTAGCCGCCCCTACATCGACCAGGTCGTCAGGCTGTCAGCCGATTTGCTGCGGCGGACCGCATGCCCCCTAGCTGGGTGTACCCGACGGTATCTCAGCGGCTATCCACCCCAATGTAGCCTCATTTACGATGTTTACGACCCTGAGGCCCTGGGGGCAAAAACACTTCCCTGTCGCTGGCCGGAGCCAGAAAGCAAAGTCCTGGGTCACGAACTTGAAATCAGCTTTTCTTTGGATGGCCGGAGCCGACTCCTGCAACTCGCTCCGCGACTCCGCGCGCTGGTGGAAGATGGGCACAGTGAGCAATGTCTCTCCTGTTGAAGAGCAGTGGCCGCAGGCCCTCAAAATCACCCTTCGAATTTCTGAGAAGTCCGACTCAGGCTGGAAAGCCGGGGAAAACGGTAGTGTGGCTGGTTCCTGGTTAGTCTCAGCACACTGACATACTCTGACACGAAAGCTGGGGCAAAGTCCAATGGAGATTGCTGTACTTGTTTCAAGAAGATTTAAACTCTCGAAGATAAATCAGACTCGGTGCTATATCTCAGTTTCATGAGTCCCATGGTAAAAATTTGAAGCGGATGGCCCACAAGCTACACTGCTTCACGCCCTTGCGTGTGTGCAGGTTGTTATACTCGGACTGGGCTTCCGACCAGCGCGACCTGCACTGCGAATGTCGTGGATGCTATTGCCCCGATGGTTTGCCAGCATCCGCTCTGACTACTGGTGTGCGCGCAACTTCTCCTGACGAGCAGGGCA